TGCTGAAGAGTATCCAAAAATGACTGAATTAGTATTTCATCAGAGAACTGCCAGATGTGCAGGCTGGGTTTAGAAGAGGCCATGACACTAGGGACATCCTAACCAACATTAGACCAATCTTGGCTGAAAGATTGGAGGATTGGAGGAAGATTCATCAACAACCTACATTATGCATATGACACAACCTTGCTTGCCGAAACTGAGGAGGACATGAGATGTTTGCTATTGAAGGTCAAGGATTGCAGTCTTGAAATATGAACTGAAAAATATGATGTTAAAAATGTTCAATATCAGGGATTCTCACCACGGGGCCAATTGGCAACACCATGATAGATGGAGAAGAGATTGAGATTGTTAGCAACTTCAGCTTGCTTAGTCCCACAATCAACACCAGGAGTCAGGAAATCAAAAGAGGAATTGCATTGGGAAAGTCTGCTGTTAGGGACCTCTCTAGAGTACTGAAGAGCAACGATGTCAGTCTGGAGACAAAGGTGCACCTGATCCAGGCTATGCTCTTCACAATTACTTGCTCTGCATCAGAGAGCTGGAAAATAGCTAAGGATGATATAAGAAGGAGCAATGCCTTTGAATTGTGGTGCTGGAGAAGAGTTTTGAACATATTGTGGACTACCAAGGGAACAAACAAGTCTGTCCTGAAGAGGGTGAAACCAAACTGCTCTCTGAGACAATGATTTTGAAGCTCTATCTTACATACTTTGGGCATGTGGCCAGGAGTGACTGACCAGTCCTTGGAGAAGGACATCACACTTGGAAGGGTAGAGGGACAGTGCAGGAGAGGAAAACCCAAGGTAGATTGACTCAATGACTGGAGAAATGTGTTTAGGGCTGTCAGAAATTATGAGATTGGCTCAAGATAGGGAAGGGTTCAGAGCTAATGTACATAGGGTTGCAATGAGTTGCAGGTGACCTGATGGCACATAATAACAGCAACAACATAGTCTTCAAAATGGAATTCATTTTAACATCAAGATAACAAAAATCCTCTCCACTGGACTAATAGGCAACATCATGATAGATGAAAAGAAGATTGAAACTGGCAACGACTTCATATTACATGGGTCCACATTCATTACACTTGGCTACTAGCATTCAGGAGACATATTGCACTGGGAAAGTCTGCAGTTAGGGACCTCTCCACATTATTGAGGAGTAATGATGTCAGTTGGAGGACTAAGGTGTGCTTGGTTCAGGTCATGGCTTTTCAATCATGACAAAAGAAGAATGGATGCCTTTTGAGCTGTAGTGTTGGAGAAGAGTATTGAATAGCCTATTTACTGCCAAAAGTGCAAATAGATTATCTATCTATCTATCTATCTATCTATCTATCTATCTATCTATCTATCTATCTATCTATATCTATCTATCTCTTGGAGAAGGTGTAGCCAGAACACTCCTTGGAGGCAAAAAAATAATGAAGTTTCATCTCAGATACTTTGGCATGTTTCTATGAGAGGCTATTTGTTGGAGACAGACATCATGCTTGGAAAGGTGGAGGCTCAAGAAAAGAGAAAAACTCTTTATTGGATGTATTGACACAGTGACTGCAACAATGGACTTGATGTGTCAGTTTGTGTGGATGGCACAGGATAGAACATAATTCAGATCTTTTCTCCATAGGTGTCACCTTTTGTTGTACTCAAATCAATGGCACTTAACAATTATGAGTTAATTATGAGTTGTTACTCATAATTTTTATGTTCATCATGATGGAAGCTCTGATGGCTTAATGGTAGGAGATGTGCGACAACCCAAAGCTGGTGGTGGTTATGTGCTGTCTAATTGCCTGTGACTCATAGTGACCCTATGTTCAACAGCTCTGAGACCTGATCTGTCCTGAGCTGACACATCTACCCCATTCTCCTAGTTACTGTATCAGTCCATTTCATCTGGGGTCTTCTTCTGCTGTGCTTTCCCTCCAACCTTCTGAGCATGATGTCCTTCTCCAAAGATCAGTCCCTCCTGGCCATATGCTCAAAGTATGTGAGACAGAGCTTCAAAATTCTGGCCTCCAAAAAAAAACTTGGTTTCACCCTCTACAAGACAGGCCTATTATTTTCTTGGCAGTCCATGGTATGTCCAAGACTCTTGTCCAGCACCACAACTCAAAGGCATCAATTCTTTTGCCATCCTTAGTTATTGTCCAGCTCTCTCATATATAGTAAGTAATTCTGAAGACTATGGCCTGGATCAGACGCACCTTAGTCTCTACACTGACATCGTCGCTTCTCAGTACTCTAGATAGGTCCCTGAAAGCAGATTTACGTAATTAGTCTTTTAATTTCCTGACTACTGGTGCCAAAAGTGTTGACTGAGGAGTTTAGCAAGCTATCACTGTTAATGTCAATCTCTTCTCCATCCATGATGGTTCTGTCAATTGGCCCAGTAGTTAAAATCTTCAATCCATATTGAAGACTACAGCCCTTGACCTTCGGCAGTAAGCACTTCAGGTTCTCCTCAGTTTCAGCAAGCAAGGTTGTGTCATATGAATAATGTAGGTTGTTTGTGAGTCTTCCTCTAATCCTGATGACATATTCCTCCTCATAAATACCAGCCTCCTGAATGGTCTGTTCTACATATAGATTGAAAAGGTATGGTGACGAGACACATCCTTGACACTTCCTTTCCTGATTTTGAACATGCAGTGTTACCTTGCTCTGTTCTGATGACTGTTTCCTGGTCCAAGGGTAGGTTTCACAAAAGCACAAGCAAGAGTTCTGGGATTCCCATTCTCCTCAAGGTTAACCATAATTTTTTGTGATCCATACAGTAAAATGCCTTTGCATAGTGAAAAAACTCAGACATTCCTCAGATACTCTTTGCTTTCTGCAAAGATCCATCTGACATTAGCAATAATATCTCTAGTTCCACAACCTCTTCTAAACCCAGCTTGTATTTCTGGTAGTTCTCTGTCAATGTATTGTTTCAGTTGTTCCTGGATAATCTTCAGCAGGATTTTGCTTGTGTTAGATATTGATGATATTGTATGATAAATACACTAGCTGATCTGTGTGCGAGAGAGAGATGGGTGATCTCCCATGTGGTTTGTTGTATCTGAAAACATAATAGAGAATCAGCTACAGGTCAGTTCTGACTCACAGTTCATAACAACAACCACAGCTTGTTACAATTAATAAAGATTGTTGTATTTCCTCTTAATACTAGTCACACTGTTTATGTGAGCCTAGGGAACTATCAGAAGTACAAACTGGTTTTAGAAGAGGCTGTGGCACCAGGGATATCAGATGAATCCAGGCTGAAAGCAGAGAATACCAGAAGAATATCTATTTATGCTTTACTGACTATATACAAAGGCATTTGACTGTGTGGATCATAACAAATTATGGCTCACATTAAGAATAGGAATCTCAAAACACTTAACTGTGCTCATACAGAATCTATACCTAAACCAAGAGATTGTTGTGCATACAGACCAAGGGAACTATGCATGGTTAAAGATCAGGAAAAGTGTGTGTTGTCAGGGTTGTATTCTTTCCCCACACCTATTCAATCTGTAGACTGAACAAATAATTCATGAAGCTGGACTCTCTAAAGAGGAGTGACATCTCAGGATTGGACCCGTTGATCTACTTCTGAAAATCATCCAGTTAAAAATCCCATGAAATACAATCTGAGTGGCCGCTAATCATGTAGACAGTGCAGACCAGGCAGCTTTTGTCCACATGAGAAAGAATTCCGTGTCTCCCCTGCATTCTTGCAGCCCGTCAATGGCAGAGTGGGGCCGTGATTCTGTGCTGTGCTTCACAGCCTCCACCTTTTCATACTGGCTCCCAGGGCCATGTGGTCACTTGAAAAGGACCGGAAGTAGGCTCCTGAAGACTGCTTTTGAAGAGTGGCTCCACCTCTGGCTAACCGTGAGAGTTTGGGCAAGTGGCTTCTCCTCTAAGTCTCGTTTTGCTCACGTGCAAAATATCAGAGATCGTGAAGATGACTTGGGATGGGTTCACATCTGTTGTTCGTAACAATGAGTCATAGTCAACTTGATAACACCTAACAATAATACCTGCCTTTGGGGTTGCTGAAAAGTGCTATGGAAGCGGTTGATTTAGTAAGCTCTGGAATGCTCTGTGAGTTCTCTTGTTGTTGTTGGGTGTTGTCAAGTCAATTTCAACCTCACGTGGCAGAGTGGAATTGCCTAGAGAGTTTTCTATTCTATAATCTTTATAGGAGCAAATCACCAGGCCTTTCTCGTGTAACTGGGTGGATTTGAAACACTGACCTGTTGGGTAGGAGCTAAGTTTGTAACCATTGTGCCACTAGGGCTCCTTCCAGGAGGTATAATCTATTGACATTATCATAGACCGGCTTCAAAACAAAACAGTCACCACTGAGTGGACTCTATCCTCATGCGCATCTGGGGGGAAATATCATCTAAAGGGTTTTCTATGATTGATTTTTTCAAGACTAGAACCCTAACCCTTTCTTCTGAGGAACCTCTGAGTAGAGTCAAACATCCAATCTGTTGGTTAGTAACCTAAAACCAAACCTGCTGACATCAAGTTGATTCTGACCATGGTAACCCACCATCTGGGCCTCCAAGGCTATAAGTCCTCATGGGAGTAGACTATTTTCTTCTTTCTCCTACAGAGCAACAGATGAGTTTGAACATCTTATCTTAGGTGAATTGTATCATCTGTTCCCCTCTGTTAAACACTGCTCTGTCTCGAGTCATTGCGGGAAGGCCTGAACCAACAGATGGACTAAGCATCCACAGGTTGTCAAAATGTATTTTAAAGAGTCAAGTGTTCTTAGTGGCATCTGAGTACCCTTGTGGGCACTAAGATAAAGGTCATGTTCTGACTGCACATCAAGTGATCGTTCATTCAAAGCAAACTCTTTGCTTTCCCCAGCACCTTGGTTAAAGGCCAGTCATCAGAACCTTTCTGTCCAACTTGGACAAAGCCCTGGTGTGCCTTGCAAGCCTGGGCCAGTCCCTCTGACTGTGCTGCCTCCTCTCACAGATCAGTGCCCTGCAGAAAGGCTACAATGAGGTGCTGCACCAGACCCTGTCCGAGCGGAACTCAGCGATCACAGCCCTGAAGAACGAGGGGGAGAACTTAAGGAGGGACAATGCCATCACCGCAGGTGAGCTCCTTCCGGTGCTGCACCTAGCAGTTGCCATTCCCTCCCAGGCTGCCACCATTGCAGACATCACCAATCAACCCCCACACTTTCTCTCTGCTCTGAGGCACAGCCCAGCATCCTCCTCAGCCGCCCTTGAGGTAGTCACTGGCAGAAAAGTGGGAGTTTGCCCTCAGGAGATACTTATTTACAATTCAGTCTCTAGCACAGAGCTTGGCTCAACTTCAGCACTCAATAGATGTCAGAACTATTTTCTCTTAGATAGGTGACCCACCTGAGAACCTGCATCACCAGGGAGAACTTGGGACTTTGCACAGCCTGGACAGTTCCAGTTTGATGTGGAAGTAAACTTTATCGTGGACAGAATGAAGCCTCCCCTCTACAACATTCATCTCCTCACCCACCTCACCCTAGTTCACCTGGGCCCGAGTGGAAACATGCTTCTATTTGATAAAAGTCGTTTGGTACTGAAGCATTAAAGCTCCAAGGACAAGCCACCCGTGGCCAGGGCACACCTGTTTCCTCAATGCCTGGATTCATTCACTCAGTCACTAAGCGTGCTCCTTGAGCACCTGCTGTGTGGAGTGGTAGGTGGAATGCCGGGCTGCCAGTGGGAAGCTCAGCAGATTGAACCCACTGGCTGCTCCTCAGTAGGGTGAGGCCGTCTCCACCGTGACGCTTCACAGACAGTGGAGGGCAGCATTAGTCACAGTCAAGTCCACAGCGGTGAATTGGTTTGTTTTAGGTGCCAGGCCCTGTTCTGCACCCTCAGGAGGGAGCCCTCAGGAGTACTGTCATGATCCCTGTGTCATAGGGCTTCTCCTGGGAGGAGGGAGACAGGGCAATGCATGCAGATACATAAACAAGTGAGTATCAGGGTGTGGGAAGTGCTGGAAAGGCTAGGCCTGGAAAGCACTGGGAGCAGCGCGAAGAGGAGAGAATAGTTTTAGTGAGTGTCCTACGAAGGTCCCTGATGAGGTGGGACAAAGCCCATCAGGGCCCTAGAACTGTGTTCCCAGAAAAGAGTACTAGTGCAAAGGCCCTGAGGCAGAAAGAGGGTGACTGTGACTGAGTGCAGAGAACATTGAATGGAAAGGTCAGAGAGAGGCAGGGCCTAGTCCTGAAAGAGGTCTGGGTATTATTCCAAGAGAGATGGGAAGAGATTGCCTTTTAAAAGCAGAAAACGACACATTTGGATATTTGAAAAGGGTGGTATCATCGGCAGAGAGAGAAGGGAAAGAAAGGAGGCGGCAGGTAACTGGGGAGTGTTGCTCTTGAAGTACCTGAATGTATGTCTCAGGCATGCGTCTGTAATGCCTAGCAGGGCAGTGAGCTAAACGTGACCGTCAGAGTCTCCAGGTGCATTCGTGGGCTGCATCCTGACTGCAGCTAGCTTCCGCTTACTCTGTAATTTCCCTCTTTGCTTGTCCCTAACCTGAGTATTCATTGAGCATCTCCTGTGGGCCAGGCATTGCTCTAGACACCAGGAATACAGAGATGAACAGGACACACAGCACTCTGCCTTGTTAACCTTGCCTCTGTCAAATCCCCATCCAGCCTCAAGCCTCCATAATACCACTTACTCTAATCAGCGTATCTGACAGGCCAGGATTTGGATGTTAGTTGGGATAAGTCAGACTCCTGCTGCTGAAAACGTAGCTCCCAGAGCAGCAGCATTTGCATTACCTAACCTTGGAAAAAACTGTTTCAGACTCCATCGTTCTTCTTGTTTACCACTGAGTCAGAACCAACTCATAGCTGACCCTCCAGTGGCTTTTCAGAGGCTGTAAATCGCACGAGAGGAGATTGCTCATCTTTCTCTCATGGAGCAGCTGGTGGATTTGAACTGTGTGCCTTTGGAATGGCAGTGCAACTCCTTACCACTGGTGTAACTAGGCCACCAGATCAGGATGTGCTCTATAACAGGATCTCCAGGTGTTTCATGTGCACATCCCAGTTTGAGAAGCGCTGGGCTGGCATTTGCCACCATAACATATAATCCCCATAGTGACTGACAATAGTATCGACCTATTTCCTCTCCGTGGGACTGACCGAGAGTCCTCACAACTTGGAGCTGACTTCCCCTCTGCGAATGACCCAACGGAGAGCATGGAGGAATTGCCGTGTCCTCTCTAGCCCAGCCTTGGAAGGCACACTCCGTCACTTCTGCAACATCCTGGGTCAGCTAGTCAGTGTGTGGATACCAGGAGATAAGGACCATTCAGGAAGCTGGCTTCCACAAATAATAATAGGTGACAAAGTCTGTGTACTAGCCACCTTATTGTTTCCTTTATAGATAACATCTATACAATGCTTCTGAGAAAACCCTGTGAGAGATACGATAGAAAGTTAAGTAACTTGCTTGACACCCCTGAGCTAATAACTATAGAGACTCAGATGATTACGACTCCATCCATGGCTCTAGCATGCCTTCTGCTGCTGCCAACTCACCTCCTGACCTCTGGGCACACTTCCTGGAGTTTCTCTCTCCTGGGGGCTCTGTTGTCCAGGTCCATGCTGCTGCTTCTCCTCTTAGTGCCACAGGACCTTGGTCAACTGTTAAATTTGGCTGACAAAAGATAAATCTCACTAGACAAAATGTTTACTATCTGGCTCTGGTGGCCTAATGGCAAGAAGCTGCACTGCAATCACAAACGCATGTGGTTCGAATCCACCAGTTGCTCTCTAGGAGAAAGATGGGCAATCTCCTCCTGTGTCATTTACTGCCTCTGAAAACCCACTGGAGAATCAGCTGTGAGTCGGTTCTGACTTGATGGTATTCAACAACAACAAATCTACGAAGGAGTTCTGGTGGCCTATGGGTAAGGAGTGGCTCTTCCAAGTCAAAAGTAGGCAGTTCGAATCCACCAGGTAATCATTAGGAGAAAAATGGGCAGTTTCCTCCTATGCCGTTTACAACCTCTGAAAGCACACTGGAGGATCAGCTATGAGTCGGTTCCAACTTGATGGCACATTACAGCAATGGCAATGTGCTAGCCAGGAGCCAGGGTGCCATAGTGTGTTACACGCTGGCTCACCAGATTCTGTCGACCAGCCGCTCCATTGAAGAGAGATGAGGCGGTGAGCTTCTGGTAAGATTTGTTTACTGGTGTGACAGAGACTAGCAGAAGCCCGGGGACTACGGCTGTTAGTCACCCCTTCAACCCGGAACTAAATTCCACTCTGTGACGCAACTTTTAGCCAAACAAGATGGGTCTGCCTTGGTCCTTAGCATGGTCACCACACTGCACCAGGAAAGCAGCGTTTTCTCTAGGAGAAAGCCTGGGAGACAGGAAGGAGTAGGACAGAGGAATAATGGAAATGAGAATTACAGGGAACAAGTGAGAACAGCACAGTTACAGCATGTTGTTGTTACGTGCTGTCGAGTCACTTGCGACTCATAGTGACCCTATGCACAACATCCCTAAACTCTGCTCTGTCCTGTGCCAATCGCACTGTCTCTGACACTCCCATCCTGATTATCCCAGTCACTGAATCAATCC